AGAGACATGTAGAGACGGAGAGACAGTGAAATAAAGATTGACTGAGACTTAACCACTTAATACAGAGAGAGAAAGAGTCTCAAACAGATGGAGAAACAGAAAGATAAATCGGCTGGACACGATGGCTCACACCTGTAATCCCAACACTTTGGGAGGCTGAGGTGGGCGGATCACTTGAGGTCAGGAGTTCAAGACCAGCCTGATCAACATGGAGAAACCCCATCTTTACTAAAAATACAAAAAATTAGCCAGGCGTGGTGGCGCATGCTCGTAATCCCAGCTACTAGGGAGGCTGAGGCAGCAGAATCACTTGAACCCAGGAGGCGGAGGTTGCAGTAAGCCGAAATCACACTACTGCACTCCAGTCTGGGCAACAAGAGCGAAACTCCATCTCAAAAAAAAAAAAAAAAAGAAAAGAAAACAAAACAAAAAGAAAAAAAGAAAGACAAATCAAGGGCTGGGTGCGGTGGCTCATGCCTGTAATCCTAGTACTTTGGGAGGCCAAGATGGGAGGATTGCTTGAGCCCAGGAGTTCCAGACAAGCCTGGGCAACGTAGCAAGACACTGTCTCTGCAAAAACATTTTAAAAAAATTAGCCAAGTGACCAGGCGCAGTAGCTCACACCTGTAATCCCAGCACTTTGGGAGGCCAAGGCAGGTGGGTTACCTGAGGTCAGGAGTTTGAGGCCAGCCTGGCCAGCATGGTGAAACCCCGTCTCTACTAAAAATACAAAAATTAGCCTGGTATGGTGGCTGATGCCTGTATTCCTAGCTACTCGGGAGGCTGAGGCAGGAGAATCGCTTGGACCTGGGAGGCAGAGGTTGCAGTGAGCCAAGATCGTACCATTGCACTCCAGCCTGGGTGACAGAGCAAGACTCCTTCTCAAAAAAAAAAAAAAAAAAAAAAACCAGAATGGTGATGTGGGCCTGTAGTCTCAGCTACTCAGGAGGCTGAGGCAGAAAGAACACTTGAGCCCAGGAGGTTTGAGGCTGCAGTGAGCCATGACCACACCACTGCAGTCTAGCCTGGGCAATAGAGCAAGACCCTCTCTCTACAAACAAATTTTTAAAAGTTAGCTGGAGTGGTAGTGCGTACCTGTAGTCCCAGCTACTCAGGAGGCTGAGGCAGGAGGATCACTTGAGTCCAGGAAGTTGAGGCTGCAATGAACCAAGATCATGCCACTGCCCTCCAGCCTGGGCAACAGAGCAAGATTCCATCTCAAAAGAAAGGAAGATAAATCAAGATGGATAGAGGGAGGAAGAGAGAGAGACATGGAGAAGGAAAGAAGAGATGGGGGAGATGGCAAGAAAAAGAGACAGAAGAAAGCTCATGCAGTCCTTGCCAAAGGGCGTCCACTCTGGGCTCACACTGCACCCATACTGGGGGCCGCAGAATTGGACTCTGCCTTTTACTCCTGCCCACACCTGTGCACTCCCATGTAAGACACTGTCACACACACACACGCTCTCCATGTGCTTATTACAGATCACAGTTCACTCTAACCTTCCCCACTCTCACACCCATGTACACACACGGATATCTTCCCTCTCTCTACACTCCCAGTCTCTCACACTCACTCTTGCATACTCCCCAGCAGAGATCCCTGACATCATTTAGTCGCTAATGTCTACTCAAGAAAGGAAGGGAGGCCAGGTGCGGTGGCTCAGCCTGTCATCCCAGCATTTTGGAGGCCGAGGCAAATGGATCACCTGAGGTCAGGAGTTCAAGACCAGCCTGGTCAACATCATGAAACCCCGTCTCTAGTAAAAATACAAAAATTAGCCAGGCCTGGTGGTGTATGACTGTAGTACCATCTACTTGGAGACAGAGGCAGGAGAATTGCTTGAACTTGGGAGGTTCAAGCCATGGAGGTGGAGGCTGCAGTGAGCCGAGATCATGCCACTGCACTCCAGCCTGAGCAACAGAGCAAGACTACCTTGAGAAAAAAAAAGAAAGGGACTTCCAGGTCATGTATCAGGGCAGGGAAGAGCTGGGGCCCAGCTGGCTGCCCTGCTGAGCTGGGAGACCACCTAGGTCTGACTTCTCCCATCCTCCCAGCCTAAGCCAGGCCTGGGGCCATGGAGGCTGGGAGGCACGAGGAACACGCCTGGCCTGTGCTGACAGGGGATTTTGTGCTCCAGCCCAGCTGGCTGGGAGGAGCCTGCTGGGCAGAGGCCGGAGCTGGGGGCTCTGGAGGGCACCTGGGGGAGGTTGCACTGTGAGGATGAGCTCAAGTTGGGTCAGAGAGCAGGGCCAATCTACCAGTGCCTGCATCAGCCTCATTGCTCTCCTGGGCTCCTGGCTGCCAGACTCTGGCTGCAGGTCCTTCTTGAGAGGCCGTGAGTAGTGAGACAAGGAGCAGGGGTGAGGGGTGGCAGGAGAGAAGATAGAGACTCAGAGAGAGAGAGAGAGAGAGAACGAGACAGAGAAAAAAGGAGAGAGAATGCCTTAGACAAAGAGAGAAAGATGGAAAGATAAAGAGACAGTCTGGGGACACTGGCTCATGCCTGTAATCCCAACACTTGGGAAGGCCAAGGCGGGAGGATGGCTTGAGGGAAACAGTCTGAGATCAACCTGGCCAACATAGTGAGACCCTGTCTCTAAAAAAAAAAAAAAGAAAAAAAATTATTTTAAAGGGACAGAGAGACTCAGAGATTGAGACTGAGAGCAAGACAGAGATAGAGAGACACTGACAGGAGAGGAAAACAGAGAAAGGGAGGAGAGTAATGGAAAGAGGTAAAAAGAAAAGCAGATGGCAGAGACACAAGAGAGGGACTCAGAGAGAGCCAGACAGACGCAGGTGGCTGGCTGCGGGCACTGTGGGGGTAACAGTAGGGGGACCTGTGATGGCCCTGGGGACGATGCTCAAGGCTCCTCTCCTGCTCCTGGGGCTGCTGACTGAAGGTGAGTGGGATCCCAGCCTTGTACCCAGTGCCAAGTGGCCCCCATTTCCCACTTACCTTCCCTAGACAAACCCTCTGCCCTTTCCTTGCACCCTGGTGTGTCCCCAGGCCTGGCGCAGTTGGCGATTCCTGCCTCCATCCCCAGGGCTTCTGGGCCCTGCCTGAAAACCTGGCAGTGGTGAAGGGGGCCTCGGTGGAGCTGCGGTGTGGGGTCAGCACCCCGGCAGTGCGGTGCAATGGGCCAAAGATGGGCTGCTCCTGGGCCCCCACCCCAGGATCCCAGGCTTCCCGAGGTACCGCCTGGAAGGGGACCCTGCTAGAGGTAAGGGATCAGAGCCTGAGACCCTCAGCCACCAGCCCAAGTTGCAACCCTGACCTCCAGCTCCCCCAGCAGGTGAATTCCACTGCACATCGAGGCCTGTGACCTCAGCGATGACGCGCAGTATGAGTGCCAGGTCGGAGCCGCTCCGTGATGGGGCCCGAGCTCGTGTCTCCCAGAGTGATCCTCTCCATCCTGGGTATGGGTGACAGACCCCCAGGACCCATGAGTCTGGGCTTCAAGCCCTCCCTTACCCCAGGACCCAGGAGTCCAAGCCCCCAGCTTCTCCTCTCCCAGAACCTCGGTACCGAGCTCCAACCTTCAAATCCTTCTCAGTGCTGGAAGCTTACCCCAGACCCTTCTCACCAGTTCCTCCCAAGCTGCTCCACCTGACCCCGGAGGCAGGCACCATGTCACCTGGGTAGCTGGGCAAGAGTATGTGGTCAGCTGTTTGTCTGGGGACGCAAAGCCAGCACCTGACATCACCATTCTCCTGAGTGAGTGAGGGTGAACTGGGTGGCAGGGGCAGCATGAAGCCTCTGGAGTGGGAAGGGTGTGTGTTCCTGACCAGTGCCCTCCTAAGGGCCCCAGAAAAGATGTCATCCCTGGGATGGGGACCCAGGAGAAGGTGTGAGGAGATGCTGAGGCCAGTGTGGGACACAGTGGATGGGAGGGCACATTGAGGAGGCGGCATCCAGCACAAGGCTGAGGACCAGATAGAGATATGGGCAGTAGCGCTGGTGCAACATGAGAAGCTGAGGGATGGGGTACATGGTACAACCCAGCAAGGAGTTGAGAGGAGTGGGGAGGCCCAGGACCCAGCACTGAAGATTGCAGCCTTCAGGCCATCCAGAAAGTCGGGAGGGTATGCAGCTGTGCTCCAGGCCCTTGTCCTCTAGAACCAGGAGGGAGGGGGCATCACATCCACCCTGAGGACTTCCAGGCCATGCTCCCCAGAATCTATCTTGCGGGGAGCCCAGAACCCCTCTAGCCCTCTTGTTGCCCCAAGTGGACAGACAATATCCGACATCTCTGCAAATATGAACGAGGGCTCCCAGCAGAAGCTCTTCACTGTGGAGGCCACAGCCAGGTGTGGAAACTGAAAAAAAACCCCAACCATGACCCCTAATTTTCCCCATGGGAACCACAGACCCCAGGGATGAAAGCATGAAGCTTGGGCTACGTATGAACATCTGCGACCCAATGCTTCTTCATGGGGAACTCTCAAAGCTGACTCTCAAAGCTTCTTCACAGGGAACAGGGGTGGTGGCTCATGCCTGTAATCTCAACACTTTGGGGGCTGAGGTGGGTGGATCACCTGAGGTCAGGAGTTCAAGATCAACTGGTCAACATGGTGAAACCCTGTTTTCACTAAAAATACAAAAATTAGCCTGGCGTGGTGGCACATGCCTATACTCCCAGCTCGTCAGGGGGCTGAGGCAGGAGAATCGTTTGAACCCAAGAAGTGGAAGTTGCAGTGAGCTGACATCGCACCACTGCACTCCAGCCTGGGCGACAGAGCCAAATTCTGTCTCAAAAGACAAATAAACAAAAAAACTTCATGGGAACCTCAGTTCCAGAGTCCCAGGCACTAAAGTTTGATCAGATGTGGGTCTCTCTAGGCTCCAGTTCTCGCTGCTGACTCCCAGAATCTCTCCCATGGAACCCTGGATCCCAGAGGAGGTCGCCATGGGGACTTAGACCAGGTGTGGGGACCAGAGGCGGCATCCCACCTCTTCTCCCTGACTCCCCAGATTTCGGATGATGACTCTGACTCCAGAACCATGAATTCTCATCCCAGGGTGACACCCCAGAGCTCGGATAATGGGCAGTTGCTAGTCTGTGAGGCGTCTAGCCCAGCACTGGAGGCCCCCATCAAGGCCTCATTCACCGTGAATGTTCTGTGTAAGTGGAGAACTGGGCCAACTAGGGCGCTGAGGATGGGGAGCAGGCACTGGGGGGTGTAGGGGAATCACAGGAATTATGGAAATTCAGGCACTCAGAGAAACATGGGGTTTCAAAAGCAGGTTGTGGGGCCTGGAAAGAGTGGATGGGCTACTCCAGGCCCATTGAGTGACTGATATCTCCCAGTCCCTCCAGGACCCCCTGTCATCGAGTGGCCAGGCTTGGATGAGGGGCATGTGCGGGCAGGACAGAGCTTGGAGCTGCCATGTGTGGCCCAAGGGGGGAATCCCTTAGCCACACTGCAGTGGCTGAAGGTGAGGGCAGTCGCGGGCACGGGAACTGTGGGGAGAGCGGAGGCCGGGAGCTGGTCCTGAGCTGGCCCAGGCCTGTCCCTGTCTCCAGAATAGCCAGCCGGCGTCCACAGTGTGGGGCACAGAGCACACCCAGGCCGTGGCCCGCAGTGTGCTGGTGATGACAGTGAGGCCAGAAGACCATGGAGCGCGGCTCAGCTGCGAGGCCCATAACAGCGTGTCTGCAGGGACCCAGGAGCGCAGCATCATGCTGCAGGTCACCTGTGAGTCCTGGTGCCAGCTGCCCACCTGTCGGTCTGTGCCTCAGAGAACCATCTATGTGTGCCCCCAAATTATGCCTACTGGATGCAAAGATCTCAGCATGTGTCTCCAGTCCTGTTGTTCTCTCTGGGCTGGTATGTGAGAAATTCAGCTCAGCTTAATGTCTTCCCTCTCTGTCCCTGCAGTTCCCCCTAGTGCCATTACTATCCTGGGATCTGCATCCCAGGTTGAGAACAAGAACGTGACACTCTCCTGTGTCAGCAAGTCCAGTCGCCCACGGGTCCTGCTACGATGGTGGCTGGGCTGGCGGCAGCTGCTGCCCATGGAGGAGACGATCATGGATGTGAGGCGGGGCCAGGCTCCTGGGTCTGAGCATGGGGGGTGCAGGGCATGACTCGTGGCTTGGGAAGGGGATGGGTCCAGCAGCCTGGGGGCTTTCTCCTTGAGGACCATGGGTCCAACAGAGGGGTGTTAGAGATGGCTCATGTGTCCCTGCTGGAGACTGAGATGGACTCAGGCCTCTAACACAATGGATGGGGGTGCTGCAGTCCCCACATCTGAAGCTCATTCCCTGCCAGGGATTACATGGTGGTTACATCTCCATGTCCAACCTGACATTCCTGGTGCGGCGGGAGGACAACGGTCTGACCCTCACATGTGAGGCCTTCAGTGAAGCCTTCGCCAAGGAGACCTTCAAGAAGTTGCTCACCCTGAACGTAAAATGTGACTGTCTGCCCTTACCCAGCAATGTCCCCAAGCCTCAGGACCCAGCCCAGAGAAAAAGTCACTCTTCCTGCCTCGCCTCTCAGATCCCGCCCAGAAACTGTGGACTGAGTGTGCCCCAGAGGGGCAGAAGCTCCGGGCTGGGACCCGGGTGAGGCTGGTGTGTTTGGCCATCAGGGGCAACCCAGAGCCCTCCCTCACATGGTACAAGGTTGGTGCCACCAGGGCTATGGGGGTGGCCAGGAATGTGGGGGAAGGACCAGGCCCCCTTCTTTCCTTCAGAATCTTGGGCAATCTTGGAAAAAGATTAAATTTCTGGAAAAGTACTAGAGATTCTGAGGTTTGGCAGGGAATCAGGAAAGACAAAAAATGCCATGAGAATTAAATGGAATCCTAGGAAAATTCTGGGGAAACAGAGTTCTAGGATAAAAATTGGAATTCTGAATCAAGATTAGGTATTCTAGAGAAAAGGTAATTTCGTTAAAATTAAGGAAAATTCTAGTGAAAAATCTCAGAATTCAGCTGAAATGTCAGGAATTTTAGGGAAAGACTTGAATCCCAGAAAAAAAGAAAAAGAAAATTTGGAGAAAAGCTAGTAATTCCACAGACTATCGAAAACTCATTAGTATTAAATCGAATTCTTGGGATTTGGAGGTAAGAAAATGAAATTTCGTTAAAATGAAAGAGAAGCCTAATTCTAAGAAAATCCTGAGAAGTTAGGGAGCTGGTTGAAAATGTTGGGGGGAAGACTAGGAATTATAGAAATGACAATGGAATTTCATTTTAATAGGATGGAATTCTGGGGAAGTGCTGAGAATCTGGGCAATATAAAGGAATCTGTTAAAAGACTGGGATTATAAGATATAATATCGGGAATATTCAGAATCTATGGAAAGTTTAATTTGTGCAGCAGCAACAATAAAAAAAAAAGAAAGTAATCTATGGAAAGGCACTGGAATTAAGGAAAATTTCAAAGGAAATCTTTGGGGACAGTGGGAATTTTAAGAAAAGGAATTGAGGCATTCTGGGAAAGGCCTGGGAATTTCAAGGGAGTTTCCTGCACGTGGTGTTGGGTAAACAGAGCAGAAACAGATTTTGAGGAGTGCGCTGAGGACCCGCAGGTGGCTGCAGAGGCGGAGCGGGGGTTTGGGTGTGGTACAGAAGACGGATTCAGATCCCCAAAACTGCCATGCACAGGGATCCGGGGAGGCGGGAGAGACTCCAAGGCAGGGGTTACTCAGTTCCACTCCCCACTGCTTTGCCCTAGGGGGGTGGCGCTGATGGCGGTGTTTCTCCGTATCACCAAAAGGCTTTGTCTGGGCTGGCAGCACCAACCCAGTGGGCAGGGTGCGGGAGTTGGGGGTTGGTGGAAGCAGCAGGGCTGCCTGCGGCCCCCAGTCACTCCCGCCCCATAGGACTCGCGCACTGTGACTGAGTCGCTGCTGCCGCAGGAGCCGCGGTGCATGCAGCTCGGCAACGTGGAGAAATCTGGGAGCACCTTCTCCCGAGAGCTGGTGCTGGTCACAGGGCCGTCGGACAACCAGGCCAAGTTCATGTGCAAGGCTGGCCAGCTCAGCGCGTCCACGTAGCTGGCGGTGCAGTGTGAGGGCGCGCACGGCTGAGGCCCGGGGGCGGACTCCGCGTGGGGCAGGACAGGGTGGAGGACAGAGCCAGGTGGGGCAGGGACCCAGCGAACCCTGGACTCGGGGGGTGCGGGCGGGGGCGGGGTGGGGCACCCGAGACTGGAGGGCCTGGGGTGCAGGCGGGATGGACGGAGACCAGGCCGCCCCTAACCTCTGAGTCTCGCTCCTCCAACCCCCTCTCCCAGTTCCCCCAACTAACGTGACGATCCTGGCCAACGCATCCGCACTGCCCCCGGGGGACGCCTTAAACTTGACATGCATCAGCGTTAGCAGCAACCCGCCGGTCAACTTGTCCTGGGGCAAGGAAGGCGAGAGGTGGGAGTGTCAGGGACCCCGCCCCTCTCTGGCCTCGCCCCGCTCCACGCATGTCCCACCGGTGCCTAGCCCCTCTCCAGCCTCTGGCTCTGCTCGCAGCCCTGGCCTCACCCCGGGTCCACAGGCTGGAGGGCTTGGCCCTCCCGCCCCGGAGAGCCCCGTTCAAAGGCTCCGCCACGGCCAGAAGCGTCCTTCTGCAAGTGTCATCCCTCGATCATGGCCAACGCGTAACCTGCCGCGCCCACAGCGCCAAGCTCCGCGAAACCGTGAGCTCCTTCTATCGCCTCAACGTCCTGTGTATGTGCCCCGGTCGGAAAGGTCCTCTTGATGCCTTCCTGACCCTAACCTACTCCTTGCGTCTCCGCCGCGCCCCCTGCCCCCGCCCCGCCTTTTTTTTTTTTTTTTTTTTTTTGATGGAGTCTGGCTCTGTCACCCAGGCTGGAGTGTAGTGGTGCGATCTGGGCTCACTGCAAGCTCCGCCTCCCATGGTTCACGCCATTCTCCTGCCTCAGCCTCCCGAGTAGCTGGGACTACAGTCGCTTGCCACCATGCCCGGCTAATTTTATTTTTGTAGTTTTGGTAGAGACGGGGTTTCACCGTGTTAGCCAAGATGGTCTTGATCTCCTGACTTGGTGATCCGCCCGCCTTGGCCTTCCAAAGTGCTGGGATTACAGGCGTGAGCCACCACGCCCGGCTGGCTGGCTGGCTTCCTTCCTTCCTTCCCTCCCTCCCTCCCTCCTTCCTCTCTCCCTCCCTCCTTCCTTCTTCCTTCCTTCCTTCCTTCCTTCCTTCCTTCCTTCCTTCCTTCCTTCCTTCCTTCCTTCCTTCCTTCCTTCCTCTTTCTCTCTCTCTCTCTCTTTTTGATGGAGTTTCCCTCTGTGGCTGGGGCTGCAATGCAGTGACGCAATCATAGCTCACTGCAGCCTCCAGCTTCTGAGCTCGTGATCCTACCTCACCCTCCTGAGTAGCTGAAACTACAGGTGTGCACTACCACTTTTGGCTAGTTTTTTTTTTTTTTTTTGTAGCAACAGGGCCACTATGTTGCCCAGCCTGGTCTTCAACCCCTGGGCTGAAGCGATACTCCTGCCTTGGCCTCCAAAAGTGCTGGCATTACAGGCGCATCCCACTACACTAGGCTGATTTTTTGTACTTTTAATTTTAAATAGAGATGGTATCTCTCTAAGTTGCCCAGGCTGATCTTGAACACCTTGACTCAAGTGATCCTCCTGCCTTGGCCTCCCAAAGTTCTGGGAGCAGAGGCGTGAGCCACTGAGCCTGGCCTGGGTCTTTGCTTTGACACTATCACTCTATCATTAACCCCATCCTGAAACTTGAAACTCCCTACCTTCATCCTGACCAGTAGTCCTGGGCCAAATCCTATCCTGTCCACTCCCATATTGCCTTTGTCCTCTCTCCTAACCCCGATCCCTATCATGACCCCTCTTTCCATCCTTCAACCTGATGCTGGCTTCTACTCTTTTCCTAAACTGTATTCTAATTTCTATCCCGAACTTTACCCTTGAATTCAGTTCTGAACTTGTTGCCTTGTCCACAACCTTAAACCCGTAGTGATCTCCCCACTTTAACCCTTGAACCTGTGCCTGATCTCCAATCTGTCCTTGATCCTGACCTTGACAACAATCTTGACTCCCTGTGGCGCCCCCTCTGAAGACCGTCCAGAGTTCCTGGGGAGCAGGTGCTGGTGGTGACCGCGGTGGAGCAGGGTGAGGCGTTGCTGCCCGTGTCCGTGTCCGCTAACCCCCGCCCCCGAGGCCTTCAACTGGACCTTCTGCGCCTATCGCCTCAGTCCAGGTGAGGGAAGTGGGCATGAGGAGGGGTCCCGGGAATGGGAGGGCCTGCCAGATCCTTTATTCTGGCCTTCCCAGCGGCGGCCCCGGCATCGCATCCTGTCAGGCGGGGCTCTGCATCTGTGGAATGTGACCCGCGGACGACGGCCTCTATCAGCTGCACTGCCAGAACTCCCAGGGGACCTCGGAAGCGCTGCTGCGCGTTGGACGGGCACTGTGAGTCCCGCCCACCATGGAAACCACACCCACCAAAGGAACCTTGCCCAATGTGGAGTCTCCTCCTTGTGGGAGCTCCGACCATCCGGGGATAGCCACCCATCCTGGAACCCTCCCGCTCTGGCTCTGGTAGTCCCTGCCGCGGTGTAACCACGCCCACGGCGGAACCCCTTCCACTAGAGAGACCCAGTGTTGAATCTCTGCCCAGAGAGGGGGCCGACGTAGACTCGGAAGCTGCTCCCGTCAGGAATGGGAGCCCATTGTAGAAGGCCCCCCCTCACAATTCTGGAAGCCCACCCAACCCACTCTATCACAGAGGCATAGTGGAGGGTGGAGACAACCTCGCTAACCTTGAGAACTCTCCTCCAACTCTTTCGTATTAAGGGCAGATTGGGTCCACATCTCTAACTTTCCTGGAACTCCTAAGACATCCCTCCCACCTGGGGCCCTCTCCCACGGAGATCTGTCTGGTCCCAAGTGCCTTCCCTAAGCCTCTGCCTTCCACCAGATGCTCCCACCATCCGTGCCCTCCAGGACCCCACTGAGGTGAATGTTGGGGGTTCTGTGGATACAGTCTGCACGGTTGATGCCAATCCCATTCTCCCAGGCATGTTCAGCTGGGAGAGACTGGTGAGGACCCAGCCTTTGGTGAAAGGAGGTGGAGTCCAAGGGTTGTGGTTTCTTGACTGTGAGTTCCTTGGGAGTGGGGACCACCTACATCTGTATGATCCTGTATAACTATATACTCGTCAGGGAATGCTCCCAGAACGAATAACTGTTGGTGGCAAAATGAATGGATGGATGGATGAATGGTAGACAGTCAGGCGAGTGAGTGGGTAGATGGATAGATGGGTCGATAGGTAGGTAAGTGGATGAACAGGTGGATGAATGAGTGAGTGGATGGAGGAACAGATGGACAAATGAAAGGATGGATAAATGGGTGAGTGGATGGGTGAGAAGATGATTGAAGGAGAAAAATCAGTGGATAGAGGGTAGATGGATGAATGGATACACCAGCAGAGGAAAGATATCTATGGAAGGATGATGGATGAATTGATGGATGGATGGGTGGAAAGATCAATGGAGAGATGAATAAATAAGTAGCTGGGTAAATATCTGAACAGATGCATGCATTTATGGGTGTGCAAGCATGAGTGAATAGTTGTGTGAATGGGTGCAGAGCTACAAGGGTGGATACATGGGTGCAGAGAAAGAAGACAAATGGGCGGAGTAATGAGTGAGTAAACCGATGAGTGGATGGAAAGATAAATGGATGAATGGATAGATAAGCAGATGGATAAATGGATGGATAGATGGTTGCAAGCATAAGTGGTTGGGTGAATGGATGGGTAGGTGGTTGCCTGGATTGGTGGATAAAAAGATGGATTGGGTAAATAGACAGATGGATGACAGGAGAATTTTTTTTTTCTTCAGTACCTCTGTGGAGGGTGATTGTGTCTAGGAGAATGAGGCTACAAAAGGGACAGTTTGGGCAGTGATGGAGCTGGGGCTAGACTGGGAGGACAATTCTTGACTCGGGCCTCCGGGGAGAAGAGGAGGAGGACCAGAGCCTGGATGACATGGCGAAGATATCCAAGGGACCCACGGGGCACCTGCAGATTCACCAGGCCAAACTGGCCCAGGCTGGTGCTTACCAGTGCATCGTGGACAATGGGGTGGCGCCTCCAGCACGAGGGCTGGTCCGTCTTGTTGTCAGATGTGGGTATCACCCAAACACCTGACTTTAAGACCTGCCACTGAACCCACAGCCCTCATGCCTCCCACATAGCTCATGTTGACCTCCCATCCCCTCCCAGTTGCCCCCCAGGTGGAGCACCCCACTCTCCTAACTAAGGTGGCTGCAGCTGGGGACAGCACCAGTTCTGCCACCCTCCACTGCCGTGCCCGAGGTGTCCCCAACATCGTTTTCACTTGGACCAAAAATGGGGTCCTTCTGGATCTCCAAGATCCCAGGTGAGCCCAGGCCCAGCCAGGCAGCACTCCAGCCCCAGGTCTGGACCTCCAGCCCCATTTCCCCTCCCTGAGTCCCTGCAGAGAAGGGTGCAGAGAAGGAAGATTAATGCATGGAGGAATGAGTGAGTGAATGGATGAGTGGATGAAAAGATTAATGGATGAATGGATAGATAGGCAGATGGTTAAATGAATGGATGTCTGTATAGATGATTCCAAGCATAAGTGGTGGGGTGAATGAAAGGATGAGTGGTGCCCTACCTTCTCTCTAGGTACACAGAGCACACATACCACCAGGGTGGTGTCCACAGCAGCCTCCTGACCATTGCCAATGTGTCTGCAGCCCAGGATTACGCCCTCTTCACACGCACAGCCACTAACCCCTAGGCTCGAACCAAGCCAACATTCAATTCGTCAGCATCAGTATGGAGGGGCTGTGAGGGTGTTGGGGAGGGGTGCTCCTTAGATCCATTCTCACATCCCTGATTGGCCCTGGGCTGCCCATGTTTCTGAAACCTGAGAATATATGTATATGTGAGGCTGGAGTTTTTGCCTGCCCTGAAAATCCTAGTGGAGACTGGATCTTCAGGGAGACCCACAACAAAGGCAAAAGAAAAAGAAAAGAAAAGAAAAAAAAAGATGGAGAGGGGGTACTTATTAGCTCAAGTAACTGAAAAATAGATTTTCAGGGGTTTCTGGAGCTAGGTTCAGCTGTCATCAGCAACTCTCCATTCTTTGTTGTTGTTGAAACAGAGCTTTACTCTTGTCACCCAGGCTAAAGTGCAATGGTGCAATCTTGGCTCCTTCTGGAGCCAAGCCTACCAAGTAGCTGAGATTACAGGCGCCCGCCACCACACCCAGCTAATTTTTGTATTTCTAGTAGAGATGGGGTTTCACCTTGTTGGCCAGGCTGGTCTCCTGACTTCAGGTGATGTGCCTGCCTCAGCCTCCCAAAGTGGTGGGATTACAGGTGTGAGTCATCACACCCAGCCCTCTCCATTGTTATGTTTGCATACCTCTGTGTTGGCTTTATTCTAAGGGCCCTCATAGTGGTCTGTTAGATTCCCAGAGGAAACAGAATTCTTTCTCTTCCTAACAGTGGTATAAAAATACTAGGATTAGCCAGGTGTGATGGCTCACGCCTGTAATCCCAGCACTTTGGAAGTCTGAGGTGGGCAGATCACAAGGTCAGGAGTTTCAGACCAGCCTGACCAGTATGGTGAAACCCCGTCTCTACTAAAAAAAAAAAAAAAAAAAAAAAAAAAAAAAAAAAATAGCTGGGGGTGGTGACGCGCACTTGTAATCCCAGTTACTCGGGAGGCTGAGGTAGGAGAATTGTTGAACCTGGGAGGTGGAGGTTACGGTCAGCTGAGATCGGGCCACTGCACTCCAGCCTAGGCAACAGAGCAAGACTCCATCTCAAAGAAGAAGAAAAGAAACCTAACCAAGCCAGGCGCGGTGGCTCATGCCTGTAATACCAGCACTTTGGGAGGCCAAGGCGGGTGGATCACCTGAGGTCAGGAGTTCGAGACAAGCCTGGCCAACATGGTGAAACCTCGTCTTTACTAAAAATACAAAAAATTAACTGGGCATAGTGGCGGGCACCTGTAATCCAGCTACTTGGGAGACTGAGGCAGGAGAATTGCTTGAACCCAGGAGGCAGAGTTTGCAGTGAGCCAAGATTGCACCACTACACTCCAGCCTGGGCAATAAGAGTGAAACTCTATCTAAAAAAAAAGAATGAAAAAAGAAAGAAACCTAACCTTCATTTTCCATAGAAGCAACCATTCGGTCTTGAATTTTTTTTGCTGTTTCTTTTGGTTTTGTTTTCACTTACTTCTTTTTAAAATTATTTTTAATTGTAATGTTTAATTTGAGAAAGGGTCTTGCTATGTTGCCCAGGCAGGTCTCGAACTTCTGGGCTCAAGCAATCCTCCAGCCTTGATCTCACAAAGTACTGGGATTTTAGGAACAGTTTGATGTTTGCCAGAGGAGTGTTCACAGTGACCTTATAGAACATGACTATACCGTGAACAATGAGAAGCAATTGTATATTTAAAATCATTCCTAGGGAAAACTTGGACAGAATCTTCTGGGATTCTTCTGTATCCTCTGACTGCTTTCCCATCTTTCTCCCCATAGGCCGCCCTGACCCTCCATCAGGATTAAAGGTTGTGAGTCTGACCCCACACTCTGTGGAGTTGGAGTGGAAGCCGGGCTTTGATGGGGGCCTGCCACAGAGGTTCTGCATCAAGTGGGTCCTTGTCGAGGCAGGAAGGAAGGGGAGGCAGCCAATGGGCTGGGGCACTTCCCTGAACTTACTATCCCCCCTGTCCTGCAGGTATGAGGCCCTGGGGACTCCAGGGTTCCACTATATGGATGTCCTACCACCCCAGGCCACCACCTTCACACTGACTGCTCTGCAGCCTTCTACACGATACAAGGTCTGGCTGCTGGCCAGCAATGCCTTGGGAGACAGTGGACTGGCTGACTAGGGGACCCAGCTTCCCATCACTACCCCAGGTGGGAAAGAAGGCTTGAGCAGGTTGGAGTGTGCCTCAGAGGATGTGTAGGGTAGTACAGTGAAGTCAATACAATTCCCTTTTTATGATGAGTTACTGAGGCCTAGAGCTGTTAAACAAATTGTCCAAGGTCACACAGCTAGTAAAAGATAAAGACGAGACTGAAACTCGGGCAGATGAACTGGAGACCAGCCGTTAACCACAACCCATACTGTCTGAATGTGATTAATGACCAAGGGAAATTAGAAAACAGTTTGAATTAAATGAAAATGAAAACATATAAAAATTTGAGGTTGCAGTTAAAGCAGTATTTAGAGGGAAATATGTAGTATTAAGTGCTTATTTTAGTTATTTTTTATTTTTTATTTATTTTATTTTTTTGAAACGGAGTTTCATTCTTGTTGCCCAGGCTGGAAACCTTCATCTCTTGGGTTCAAGCGATTCTCTTGCCTCAGCCTTCCGAGTAACTGGGATTACAGGCATGTGCCACCATGCCTGGCTAATTTTGTATTTTTAATAGAGACGGGGTTTCACCATGTTGGTCAGGCTGGTCTCGAACTCCTGACCTCATGATCCACCTGCCACGGCCTCCCAAAGTGCTGGAATTATAGGCCTGAGCCACCACGCTCAGCCTTATTTTTTATTTTTGAGATGGCGTCTCACTCTGTCACCCAGGCTGGAGTGCAGTGGTGCGATCCTGGCTCGCTACAACCTCCGCCTCCCTGGCTCAAGCAATTCTCCTGCCTCAGCCTCCTAAGTAGCTGGGATTACAGGCATGTGCCACCACGCCTGGCTAATTTTAGTATTTTTAGTAGAGACGGGGTTTCACCATGTTGGCCAGCCTGGTCTTGAACTCCTGACCTCAAGTGATCCACCTGCCTTGGCCTCCCAAAGTGCTGAGATTACAAGCATGAGCCACCATGCTTGGCCAGTTTTTGTTTGTTTGTTTTTGTTTTGAGACACAGTTTTGTTCTTGTTGCCCAGGCTGGAGTGCAATGGTGCCATCTCAGCTCACTGCAACCTCCGCCTCCCAGGTTTGAGCAATTTTCCTGCCTCAGCCTCCCAAGTAGCTGGGATTACAGGCATGCGCCACCACGCCTGGCTAATTTTTGTATTTTTAGTAGAGACGGGGTTTTACCATGTTGGCCAGGCCGGTCTTGAACTCCTGACCTCAAGTGATCCACCTGCCTTGGCCTCCCAACGTGTTGGGATTACAGGTGTGAGCCACCACGCCTGGCCTAGTTTTGTTTTTTTTTTCTTTTGAGAATCACCTTGAATGCATATTCTAAGTTTTCATCGTAAGAAAGCATGGCTCATGCCTGTAATCCCAGCACTTTGGGAGGCCAAGGCGGGTGGATCACCTAAGGTTGGGAGTTCGAGACCAGCCTGACCAACAAGGAAAAACCCTGTCTCTACTGAAAATACAAAATTAGCCGGGCGTGGTGGCACATGCCTGTAACCCCAGTTACTTGGGAGACTGAGGCAAAAGAATCACTTGAACCTGGGAGACAGAGGTTGCAGTGAGCGGAGATCATGCCATTGCACTCCAGCCTGAGCAACAAGAGCAAAATTCCATCTCAAAAAAAAAAAAAAGAAAAAAGAAAGAAAGAAAGAAACTAATAAAAACAAATTAAACCCAAAGTAAAAAGAAAGAAGAAAATAATAATGGTAAGAGCAGAAATTAATGAATTAGAAAACAGAAAAACAATTGGGAAAAATCAATGAAACCGGAAGCTGGTTATTTGAAAAAAAATCAGCAACATTTATGAAGCTGATTAAGACAAAAAAAGAGAGAAGATACAAGTTACCAATAACAGGAATGGAAGAAGGGATATTACCACAGACTCCACAGACATTAAGAGGATAATAAGGGAATATTATGAATGACTTTATTCCAATAAATTCAGCAAGTAGGATAAGAAGGACAAATTCCTTGAATATGATGAATATGTTACAATTCTGATAGGTACAGTATTGCAATGGTTAATCCTTACAGAGCCTGGTTCAGAGAAGCTTGGGTTCAAATCCCCTCTCTGCTACCTCCTAGTTGTGGTGACCATAGGCAAGTGTCTCAGTTTCTAAAAATATATAGCACAGATCTTTGTGGCTCAGTTTCTTTTTCTTTCTTTCGTTTTTTTTCCCTTTCTTTGTGTGTGTGTGTGTGTGTGTGTGTGTGTGTGTGTGTGTGTGTGTGACAGAATCTTGCTCTGTCACTCAGGCTGGAGTACAGTGGCATGATCTCCGTTCACCGTAACCTCTGCCTCCCAGGTTCAAGCAATTCTCCTGCCTTAGCCTTCCAAGTAGCTGGGATTACAGGTGCATGCCACCCCACCTGGCTAATTTTTGTATTTTTGGTAGAGACGGGGTTTCACCATGTTGGCCAGACTGGTCTCAAACTCCTTACTTCAGGTGAGCCACCTGCCTCAGTCTCCCAAAGTGCTGGGATTACAGGGGTGAGCCACCACTCCCAGCTGCAAGCTTCTTCTTTCTGTTTTCCTCTTCCTGACAGAGCAGGCTTTTTCTCAATGTAAGGAAGGACACTTTCTCATCTCTACAATCTTCTCTGCTCTTCCCCCTACCCCATTCCTGTCTTCCCTTTGAACACTAAA